GGGGAACTCTGCAAAAAACGCATCTTCGCACGGGCAGCCCGTGCGTTGGCCATTTATTTTGTCGTGAGTTTTACAAATCTCCATAAAAAACGGGCCATGAACTGAGCCGTTTGCACATTCCATTACGGGCATGTGAAAGATTTAGCGAGAAAATTGCTAACTCGGGAACCAGAAAGACTAGAAAGCTGAAATTTTAGGGGAATGTTCCCTGCTCAAATACAACTTAAACATTTCAGATTCAACCTTCAGGTTTGCGTGGTTCTCACCTTCGGGCAGTTAAAAGTTTTGGCGGGAAAATTGCTCACTTAATAGCTAGGTTACTTTCAAGGAACGACCGTTAAATGGAAATTGCTCACTTTATGCAAAATAAGCGCAAAAGATAGGTGTAAAGCAGCAACTATTCGTGCTGTTAATGACCTGAGTGCCTTAAGTCCGATACAAAAACGCATTACAGCATGGCAAGCCTGGTGCATTTTCAACTTGGATTTATCAGTATCCACACTGTATTCTCTGCTTAGATTGCGCAATGCGACTTAGCGTAATTTTTGTGGGTGCTTCTTGCCTATCATAAGTTTCCGATATTTTTGAAAATGTTTTCGTTAAAGCACATGCATCTGGAGGAGATGAAGTTAGTAAGAGAAGCTGTGAACGCTCAAAACTGAAATTTAATTTGATTTCATATTTCACTGTACAGAAGCATACGAATTGAAGTATTTTCAGTTGTATGCGAAGCTTACGGAACTGGAGCAGAAGGTGGCGGATGGAATGCAGTTGCCTGTCGGTGCAGCCGAGTTCGCTGAGAAAGCCAGGTAATTATAGCTTGCGTACAATGTTCAGCTAGTATCACGCTTTACAACTTTATTGGCCGCAGGCCACAGAATTACAGTTATGGCCTGTTCGATTTGAGATTATACCTGAATTCCGCTTTTTATTATGCGTGCTACAACTATTTATAGAATCGCTGATTTGGAAAATGAACTAATGCGCACGAAGAAGGATCAGGAAGGCT